AAAAAAAAAAAAAAAAAAAAAAAAGTGCCAAGAACTAAGTTCTCCAAGCGCTCAGGCTGCCAGGAGGGATCGGACCTCATGCCTCTGCGGGTGATGGGCTGGGTGAGGCGGCAAGATAACGACTAGAGGAAGCTCTCCTCCTTTCCGTGATTCTTTCAAGGATTCACTGAGACCATGAGAACAGCTGCCACACAGAACAGAATCCAGTACCTGCGAGGTGAGAGGCACTGTCTCTACAGCCTCTGAGTCCATATTTGTCACTAACAAAGGACTCCCTGGCTTGAGGGAGCCTGTTCTTGCTGTAGGCAGCTCTGGTTACTAGAAGGCTCCATCTAGTTAGCAATTCTGATCTGTGGTCCAAATCTGCTATACCACCTGTTAAACGTTTTAATAGATCACAGCTCTGCTCCTCTGTTTACAGAGTAATTAGAACAGGGTCCATATGTCCCCCAAAGCCTAAACTACTTACCTCCTGGCCCTACTTTACAGGAGTTTGCTGGCCTCAACTCTGATAAGACGGCTCTGAATCTGAATCCCAGAACTGCTCCTGTCTCTGAGCTAAACCCTATTGAAAAATAAGAACTTTCAGTAGGTGAGATTTAGGAAATTCAGTCTACAAAACTGAAGACTGATAAGGATGTGGGAAAAGTCTGTAAGATGATTATTAGACTGAATATAGAATGATATTCCTAATCCTAGAAAGCCACTTAAGGGAATACTCATTTTTAAGACTGTATGCTTAAAACACAAGTTTATTTCATGCTCAGTGAAATAAGTGAGATGTCCACCAAGGACAACTGGGGGCTCCGCTTTTTTTTGCTGCTGCTGTTTTTGAGATGGAGTCTCGCTCTGTCGCTCAGACTGAAGTGCAGTGGTACCAGCTCCGTTCACTGCAACCTCTGCCCCCTGGGTTCAAGCAGTTCTTCTGCCTCAGCCTCCCGAGTACTTGGGATTACAGGTGCCCACCACCACGCTCGGCTAATTTTTATATTTTTAGTAGAGATGGAGATTCATCATGTTGGCCAGGCTGGTCTTGAACTACTGACCTCGAGTGATCTGCCCACCTCGGCCTCCCCAGGTGCTGGGATTACAGGCTTAAGCCACCACACCCAGCCTATTTCTACTTTTTAGAGGCAGGGTCTCGCTCTGTTCCCAGGCTGGAGTATAGTTGTGCAATCATGGCTCTCCGAACTCCTGAGCTCCGGCAGTCCTCCTGCCTCAGCCCATTTTTGTTGTTTTTTTGGTTTTCTAATTATGAACACTGTAACCCGTGGCCATTCTTGTCACATTTCATTATATACTCAAGCTGGTTTATTGTTTACAGTAAATTCTTAGAAGTGGGACTGCTGGGTCCTATAGTATGTGCCCTTTACATTTTGATATTGTCAAATCATGGTTCAGTCAACATTCGTCACAGCCCTTTGCCTTTGTGCTAAGGTTAGGCCAAAAACCCCAAAAAAGGGCCGGGCAAGGTGGTTAACACCAGCCACTACAAAACCATCTTTCTTTGTTTTATACAGAAATATTGCTTTCCTCTTTTGTTTTCAGTGAAACTTAGATATGAAAATCTGCCAATGTATATCATGGATGACATACCCAGTTTCCTTCATGGGAGGGGTACTGAGTGAGCATCTCTTACCAAATAACCTAAGACATTTTTAAATGACAGCCTCCATTATAAACTGTAATGTAAGCCAGGCTATGGGGGCTCACGCCTGTAATCCCAACACTTTTGGAGGCCAGTGTGGGCAGATTACTTGAGGCCAGGAGTTTGAGACCAGCCTGGCCAACATGGCAAAACCTCTCTCTAAAATATCCTATCTCTAAAAATACAGAAATTATCTGGGTATGGTGCCGTGTGCCTGTAATTTGTTACTGGAGAGGCTGAGGCAGGAGAATCTCTTGAACCCAGAGGCAGAGGCTGCAGTGAGTCCAGATGGTACCATTCTACTCCAGCCTGGGTGACAGAGTAAGACTCCATTTTTTTTTATCCCCACCCCCACCTCCAAGACTCCATCTCAAAACAAGTAAAACCCCCAAAAATGTGTGATTTGGTTTCCACTTTATGTTTGAGGTCAGTTGAGACTTGAGACGGGCACTGGAGCAGGCGTTCCCACCTGTTCTGTGAGGGCAAAGGTCATGGGAGGGACCTGAGTACATCAAGGGGTACAGATACCCTGTTCTGGCTCCTTCATGCTCAGTCACCTTAGAATATGTGAATATATCATGAGCTGTTTCTGAGCTCATATTTTCCTGGTGAGATGTCACTGGAAGGGCCTTTTTCTAAGTGAGGGGCTATCTTGTGCTGTGACTTTTTTTTTTTTTAAAGACAATTTCACTCGTTGCCCAGGTGGGAGTGCAGTGGTGCAGTCTTGGCTCACTACAACCTCCTCTTCCTGGGTTCAAGTGATTCTCCTGTTTTAGCCACCTAAGTAGCTAGGGTTACAGGCACCCGCCACCATGCTCAGCTAATTTTTGTATTTTTAGTAGAGATGGAGTTTCACCATGTTGGTTAGTCTGGTCTCGATCTCCTGACGTCAGGTGACCTACCTGCCTTGGCCCCCCAAAGTGCCGGGATTACAGGCATGAGCCACCGTGCCCAGCCATGGCTGTGAATCTTAAAACATTTCAGTGGGAAAGTATGGATACTTCCCACTAATATATGACAGTGACGCATCTGAACTGCTGCACAAGAGGCAGCGAGGGGAGCATTCTGAGGATCTGTGGGTTTTCAGGTAGAGAAAATCTTTCGTGATTGCAAACATATGAAACCATTTAAAACTGATTTTGCCATGATTCCACAATAATAGTCACTTGAAGAATGTTGATGCAGCAGAGTCAGCCACTTCTGGACCGTCTACACTCAAAAACAGCTTGCAGCTTCGTTAAGTGGCTGCTATTACAAGTGGAATTCTGGAGGTGGACGCCAGTGTCTGCTCCCAGTGACCCATGCTTGTGCAGCTAACAGAACCCTGGCAGCGGGGCAGGGCTCCGCTGGCTCTGCACAGCACCTCCTTTCCAGAAAGCACTCAGAGCCAATCTCACAGGCTTTCTTCTTCTTTCAGTCCTTTCAGGGGAGCCAGGGACGCGCCTACCTCTTCAATTCCGTGTGAGTATCCTGGCTCAGACTGGGGGGTGGCGTGGGCCCCCGGAACGGCCCAGATGGCACCTACACAGTGCCCTGTGTAGAATCACCTGGGTCTTTCCGGGTCCTGAAAGGACCCACTGTCCCTCGCCTGGGAGTTTCTGAAAGCTTGCTAAGGATCTTGCCCCCCAGCTTGTTCCATCATTCTTTCCCAGTGGCGGGCAGGGCTCGGGGAGAGGTGCGGTGCTGCTCCCTGGCCGGTTCCCTGTTTTGGGGGAACTCCTAGGAGGACAGGGCGGGGCCTGGCCAGGGGTGGGCCGGGCCTCCAGCGCGGTGGCCCCTCTGTCCCCGCAGGGTGAACGTGGGCTGCGGCCCTGCAGAAGAGAGGGTCCTTCTCACTGGGCTGCACGCAGTCGCCGACATCTACTGCGAGAACTGCAAGACCACGCTCGGGTGGAAATATGTGAGTGCCGCCGGCCCTAAGGGATGCTTGTGCCACATGGGGACGTGCCACCGAGCTACACCTCCCCCTGCAGTATGGCTCTTGGTACCAGTCACAGCACTTTCAGAAACTCCAGTTCCTCAGGCGGGGACGGGAGGTCGAGGCTGCAAGTGAGCTATGATCTCACCACTGCACTCCGGCCTGGGTGACCGTGAGACCCCGGCACAAAACAAACAAAAAACCACATTTTCAATCCCCACCACATTTTCAATCCCCGTTTCTTCCTAAGCAGGGCTCTCTGCACCCTGATCTGGCCTCCAAAGTCAACAAACCTGGCGCCCCTAGGCCCTGCACCCTCCTGCCCTGCTCCCCTCCTCCACTGTATCTGGCAAGTCCTCCTCTCCCCCAGGCCACCTCAGACTCCATGGTTTTGACACTCTGGCTATCTGGTAGATGTTCCCATCCCCCTTCTTTTTTTTGAGATGGTCTCCAACTACTACCTCAAGTGAGTCTCAGCCCCCCAAAGTGCTGGCATTACAGGCATGAGCCACACGCCTGGCCTACCTTCCTTTTTTGGAGGAGGCTTTCCCATTCTGGCTCTGGTGTTCTTTGGGTCCAGGCCGCCTGCTCTCCCTCTTTCCTGAAATTCTGATCATCTCTGGTCTCCCAGATTCCTTGTGAGTTGTGGGAGACCACAGTTCGTACCATGGAAGCAGGTTCCATGAGATAGGCACGCATCCCAGCCCTTCCCCCTGGTCAGTCCCATACCCATTTGTGGGTCCCACTTCCAGAAACCCCTGCCTTTCCTGCATGGCCACCACACTGCATTCCTGCCACAGCTGCACCCACTGCTTCCTGCTGGCACAGGCCCTCCTGTGTCTGCCACACCTGGGGCTGCCGCTTGGGTTGGCAGGACCTGTCTTGGTCGTCTGTGTCCCTGGCACCAGGCCACACTCGGCATAACAAAATGATGAGGATATGTTTGTGGGAGAAAGAACTCTTCCCCAAGAAGGGCCTTCTCCAGATGCCCTGAGTTTTTTGAGACAGTCTTGGTCAATCTCAGCTCATTGCAGCTTCGGCCTTCTGGTCTCAAGTGGTCCTCCTACCTCACCCTCCCAAGTAGCTGGACAATTGGCACACCAAACTTAGCTGATTTATTTTTTTATTTTTGTAGAAGAAAATCAAACTATGTTGTGTAAGCTTGTCTCAAACTCCTGTCCTGGCCCCCCAAAGTGCTGGGATTACAGGTGTGCACCACTGTGCCCAGGCCCCAGACGTCTTTGGCTCTCCCTGTACTTGCCTTCACTCTAGTTATGCACGGAATTCCTGGAGTGTAGTCCTCTGCATATCTTCAAGCCTCTTACCCCACAGGTAGTAAATGTCCAGTAAACAGATCTGCACTCACAGTGTCCTACAAGTAATCCCAGCACTTTGGGAGGCTGAGGAGGAATCACTTGAGCCCCGGAGGTCAAGGCTGCAGTGAGCTATGACCCTACACCACTGCACTCCAGCCTGGGCAACAGAGTGAGACCCTATCTCAAAACAAAGGAACGGAAAACCTTTTAGTATATGTGCTGCCCAAGCAAGCACATGAAAACCTTTTAACAACAACAAATGCAAAGTAACCCTACACTGCCTCAAGGGACTTCTCCCCGGAACAGACCTCCCGGCGCTGGGTGAGTAGTGGCTCAGGGAACATCTGGGTATAGTTAATAGTACACACTTGGGTTTTGTTGTTGTTTTGGTTTTTTTGCCCAAAGAGTGATGAAACTGAAAGTGAAAACTTCTGTCTTGAAACCTTTGTCTCTTGTTTTTCAAGGAACATGCCTTTGAGAGCAGTCAGAAATACAAGGAAGGAAAATTCATCATTGAGCTTGCTCACATGATCAAAGACAATGGCTGGGAGTAAAGTGAGAACTTTTCCTTCTCCTTCGAATGCTATTTTGTGAAAGAAACTGAATGTAATGGAAACTTAGGAGGATCTGACAGCCTTTCTTGCCCTCTGACCTCAAAGGCTAGTTGCGCATAGCTGTTGACACTCTCAGCCATTTCTGTGGGTAAGGTGTCCCATCTGATCTGTTCTCTTCGTGTACACGGTTGTTTCTGAAAATTTTCAATGAGCTTTTTCAAGTTCTAGAGAAAGAACTAACCAACTGATGACTATCCGCCTAGTTAATACCTTCCTTTTACCTTTGTCTTCAATATAGTTGGGGTCTGCTTTTTTTAGGTTCAGTAGGAAACCAAACTGAGTCTTTGAAGACCATCGGGACAGGTTCTCTCTAGATAGCAAGTCTTACCTTTTTTCCTTTTTTAGAGAAAAGGTATTGTAAGCCCACCCTCCATCCTGCTTTTTTTTCTTAAATTCACAGAACTTCAAATTGGCTATTCCTCTTGCAAATGAATTGTTAAAAGTACAGTGTTCATTTAAGAATCTTCCAGAGGCCTCCACTGACATTTTAGATACACTATAGAGAAATGTGTCTAGTGGAACATCTTATTTATGCCAATAGATTCCTTATCTAGAAAGCAGGTGAGCTAGTTCTTAGAGAAGGCTGTCCCGGGGGGCTACAGAGGTGCCGTTACTGAGGGGACAGCCTCACAGTGTCTGGTACTGGGGGTTGAGCCCTCAGTGGTGAAGCAGCTTAGGTATCAGGCAGTTACTGAGTGGCTGGTCCATGTCATTAAAGTAACCCACTGGACGGAGTAAAAGTCACATTTAATTTTCTACCCTGGATGTACTTGAAGAAAAAGAATTATTTTTGCATATGAAAGAGTCCAGAACCCACAGGAAAAACTTCAAAACTTGAGATTTGCCAGAATATTTTAAAATTCGCTCAGAAAAGGTTAAAATGACAAGTTTAGCCTTTGTGCATGCAGATGGCTGGCCTGCTGGACACATCACCCCTCCCTGCCTGATGCTGTCCCATGTCACATAAACTGATAGAGGGGCCTGTGGAATTTCCTAAGGCCTGTGTTTCTGCCACATAGTTTATTATAAATTCCAGTCCATCCACCTGCCCTCCACTGGGAGTGGGTACCCCATAAAGGGTTTAGGTCACTTTGCAGAGGATGGAGGCCAAAAGCCACTCCCAGATAAATTTGGTTTTCAACATTTAGTAACTTGTCTCAGAGCAGAGGGCACGCAGGGGGCTGGGGGAGGCAGAGGAGCAGCAGCTAAGAGAGCACTAAGCCTGGACATTTCTCAACCTGGCAAGTGGCTCTGAAGCTGCCTTCAGACAAAGCTAGTCTAAGGGCAAGAGTGTGAGCTGGTAGACAAGAACCTCCTGCCCAGTTTCACACCTGCCCCGACTGTAGCCCCTCCTAAACCCAGACCTGTGGCCCAGGCAGGCATTGGACTGTGCCCACTCAAGTTCATTGCCCACATACAGCATGCCTTTGGGTACTATCTCTTTGCCCAAGCCTCAAAGCCTTGGAATGTGGGAAATGCCACTGCCCTGGTGGGCATAGCCCTGAGATGTGTCAACTCGGCAGGAGCCAGAGGCAGTTCCTTTAAAGCACATCTTCCATTTAGGAAGGTAATCCTTATACTGTCTCGTAAGCCTCCACATCGTGCTGTGGCCCTGCAAGCTGCTTTCTCCCTGCGCTAGCCTCCCCAGCGTGTTTAGGCTGGCCCAGCACATCCCTGTCCTCCTGAGCTCGCGTGCAGCCATCCAGAACCTGGGAGTCACTGCAGGCTGCCGGGTCTCACTGCCATGGTCTCAAGCCTTGAAGAGGCTCCACCCATGAGCTGGCACATGAAGTTAGCAACACCTGTGGCTTTAGTCCATTGTTTTGAGACTAAGAGGCTGAAAGACACCTTCCCAGCCAGAGGAAGGAGTTCACTGAAAACTTAGTTTAAACTGACCCTTCCCTTCGAGTCTTCATTCCTTTCCCATGTGGGAACCCAGCCTCAGATGCCTCGGGGACTAGGGAAACAGTTGGGGGGCTCGTGCCAGTGTGAGGACAGCAAGGTCCTGAGCGACTCAAGATGCTTCACTTACATTGAAGAATCTTCTAAAACTCTTCCGACCGATTTTTGTATATACTAAAATTCTATTTAAAGCTTTTCTATGTTTTGGGCGAGTTTACTGCTCCTTCTATTTGAGCACTTTGGTTTTTGTATTGTCTTTTGTGATGGCACTGATTGATTGATTGAACATTTTTTACTGGTAGTCTTATGACTTTTTTTTTTTTTTTTTTGTAACATATAGCAACAAAACTTTTATCACTTTTTTTGTTGGTCTTCTGCAAAATACAAGCTCCTTTTTAAACCAAATGAACTGACCATGAGCTGGCTTCAGGGGAAGTGCTATTCATAAGACCATATCCACCACCATCTTACATTCCTAAACAATAGCATCTGGGACTTTAAAATCCTCCTTGAGAACAGGGAGGTGATGTCAGGGTTATAAATGGATTTAAATGAAACACTAGTATGTCTGACACACTCCATTTGCTTTAGGAATGTGGTTTAGTGTTTTATACACAGTATTTTTATACCTTAATGCTTATTCTTTATGGTATCTGTCAGATAACAGAATCAGAAATAAGAATCTTCCCAAAAATCCAAGTGGTTTTAATATCTAAAAAACTACAAATTAAGCTCTAAAACTACAGAAATGTAAACCCTCGCTTGCCCAAAGGTCCTTGGGGGCCTATCCTCTGCCCCAGGGGCAGACAGCCGTGAAGCCCTTCCTGCACCGTGCAGACCACTGGTGAGACTGAAAGGTCACCCACGGCAGTTTCATGGAGCAAAACTGCCGAGCCCAAGCATGGGGCCTTCAGCCTCCTCTGTCCTCTGGCCACACTGCCAGCCCTTGGTCCTTATCTGTGTGAGGTTTACGAATAAAGCTTCTGATGTCAAATGTTTAAATTGTCCCCTCAGTGGATGAGGCCATGACCTGATCCAGAAGGCTGAGCTCAGGCTCTCTGTGGCGCCACCGAGAGCAGAGGGCTGTCTTGGGGTCTTGGAGCCCTGGAGCCAAGGGCAGCCTGGTCATACCTCTCTGCCCCCACCATCGGGGATTTGAGTGTGGCCAGAGAATAGAGTCAGGGCCCTTCCAAACCTCCTTCTCCCTCCCTGCCCTCCACCCTCACACATACCTCAGGCACTGGCTCAGGCCTACAGGTGTGTAGACCCCTGGGTGGTCACTGTCCTACTGCAACCCTCCTGTGCAGGCCCAGCTTGGTGTCTGAGCGTCTTACAAGCGAGTTACTGCCAGGCTGGACCAGGCCTCACTGAGGGCAGTGCCTGGCAGGAGGCATGGAGGGCGTCAGAAGTCACTCTAGAGCCCAGTCACAAGCAGAGCGGCTGGAGAGGCAGTGGAGCGAGCCAGGTTGCAGTCCTTGTTCTCAGCACGATGAAAGGCCAGGGGCTGGTGTGCAGCAGGGTGACAAGGGGCAGACAGGCCTCCAGCAGTCATCGAACAGCCTATGGCAGTGGACAGGGAGGCAGATGAGGTGCCACCTGACATCCAGGGAGACAAAGGGCTCAGCCCTGTAGCCTCATCAGTGATGAGAAAAGGAATGGCAGAGGTACAGCCTGGAAGTTGCTGACAGGTTCAAGATATGGGGTGATGAAAATGAGAAAACCAAGAACAAGGCCTAAGTTAGGATTTAGTGTTAAGATCTAGAATGGGGGCGGTGGCCTCAGGACAACACAGAACCCAAGAGGCGAGCATCAGGCGAGGAGCGCCCCTGACATCAGAGAACAGTGACATAGGCTGAAGACAGAGGAAAAAGCCAGCCAGGGGCGCATTTAACAGAAAAATGGGGGTCAAAGGAGGGATAGTTCAGTTAGGAGATGCTAATATAGCTGGCCCAAGGCCATCAGAGTCTGTCACAGGAGGAGCAGAGTTGTGGAGCCCAATGTCTGGTCCTCAGGGCAAGGCCCCCTTCCCAGTGGGAGGGCAGGGAGAGGGTCAGCCACTTGTTCTCATGGCTGTAGACATTGGCCTCAACCAGTGTGGGTCCCCTGAAGATTCTGAGGGGGCAGAGAGAAGCCAGGCAGGCTTGGGATGAAGCCCAGGTGCTACGTGGCCAGAGCAGGTGCCTCGAGCCCCAAGAGCAGGAAAGATGTTTAAAAGTAACATCAATGGTGCAATCCAGCACGGGCCATCAGAAGCCCCTAAGGTTTTGCCAAAACAGACTGAGGAGCCCACCCTGCAGAGGTTTAGGCTCAGAAGACCCGGGGTCTGAAAACTTGTCCCAGGTGATGGCATTAGTCAGGGGACCACATTCATTGTATAAATAGGCAGTCCCTGAGAAGATGACAGAAGAAGAGGTAAGAAAACCAGAGTTACAGCTGGGTGTGGTGATGCATGCTTGTACTCCTAGCTACTTGGGAGGCTGAGGCAGGAGGATCACTTGAGCCCAGGAGGTCAAGGCTGCAGTGAGCCATGATCACACCACTGCACTACAGCCTCGGCAACAGAGCAAGACCCTGTCTTAAAAACAGAATCTGGAGACAGTCCTTTCTCACTAACCTGACCTGCCTACCGGAGGCCTGGGGTGCCAGCCTGTGTGCAGGGCAGGCCTTGTGCCTGGAGGTCCCAGCAGTGGGCTCCGCCTGGGCCAGGTCCTGGAAACAGGGCCAAGCCCCTTGGCAACAGGTCGAGGGATGGGGGAGTCTGTGGGCTCCCAGGGGCCAGGAAAGGGGATGCAGGCAGCAGGTACAAGCTTTATTGGATGGCAACAGAGGGCAGCAAGAAGGCTAGAAACAGATGTGGATACAAGCCCCAGCCCTGCAACCCACCCAGGTCCACAGTGACCAACCTGCTGCTACCAGGAGCTGAAGTCCCCAAAACCCCGACTGGGCTTCTTCTTGGAAGTGGGGACAGTAGCACTGGTTGAGGGCTCTTCCTCTGCCGCTCGCTTCCTGGGAAGAGAAAAAGCTGCTGGGAGCCCACACCCTCCACATAGCCCTCTTGTGTAGGCCCAACCCCTCCAAACTACTGCTCCCACATCCCCCTGAATGCGATTGCTTCCACCTGCTGAGGCCCTGGCCAGGCCTTCAGAGGCGGTCCTCAGCTGCAGAGGCCACACAGCACAAGCCCACACTCAGGACCAGTGCCCGTGGCTTTCCTGCCCCTCTGGGTCTGACCCCCAGACCTCAGTCAGCCCTAGGAAGCATCATGGGAAACAGAGGACATCCCTGTGGCACTCACGTGGCTGCTGGATTGATGTACTTGCCCACGCCCTGGCGGAAGGTCTGGGGGCCTTGGCTCCCTGCCTGAGGCTGGCTGCACTTCACTTTGGTCTCCGGGGCAGCCTCGAGCTGCGTCTTCCGCTCCTGGGCGATCTGTGGCAGAACAGGGCGGTGGCTAACGGGCAGCACCTCAGGCAGGACAGATGCTAGGCTTGGGGCGGGTGGGTGCACTGGTCCCGACCCTCCTAGGTGGTGGCATCGTGCCCCCTCACCTGGGCATCGGCCTCCTCGTAGGGGTCCACAAACACTGTAGTGGTGTTGATTCGGATCTCCTCCTAGCAGCAGAGAGGGCTCAGTGCGCGGCAGGTCCTCCCCCGGCCTGCCTGGCCCCTAGCCACCGCGCCCCACCTCCCTGGGCACAGACCTTAGGGCGGTCAGTTTTGGGGTCACTCTCCACATTCTCCATGGCTGTGAGTACGTCAAAGCCCCCAACAACCCTGTAGCAGGGAGACAGAGGCGGGTCTGCATGTGCTCAGGGAGGGCACCCCTACGGCTGAGCCCCCAAGGCATGAGGGAAGAGGGGCTGAGAGCATGCCCAGGATGCTGGGGTCCTCCCGGAGGTTGGCCTGTCAGTCCTCCGGCAGCAGCCAGGAAGGCAGGGAAAGGGAGTAGAAAGGGCGGGGTTAGCAGAACCTGGCCCTGGGCAAATCCACTTGGATTTTTTCTGTTTTCTTTGGTTCCCCCACAACCCCCAGGAAAAATAGGAGTCACAAAACATGGCTTGTGCTTTCTCTACTGGTTTGGTAAATAGAGTTCTACCTGGCCAGAACTCTACATGCCACCTGTGTCTAACGTGTCGGTTTCATGCTGCTTCCACACAACTGGGTGGGTGTCAGAGACCATGCGGCCCACAATGCTGGAGAGACCACTGGACTAGAGGGTGAAGGGAGCCATGCGTGGCCAGACTTGGGAGTGGCGCGCCGTCAGTTCTCAGACAGGGCAGCAGGCAGGCCATCCAGGGGCGAGTTTCCTCCTTTCCTCAGCCCGGTGAGTCTGGAGAGCCAGACTTCTCTGGCCCATGGAGCACCCCCAGCCCTAGCTCTGCATAGCCTCAACCCCCAGCAGTGACAGCCAGCATGGCAACATGGCTCAGGTCTGGTGAGGAGGCCTCAGACAGGGAAGGAACCCACCTACCCCACTGACTCCCCAGGCTTCACACAGCCACTTCCCTTACCGTCCAAAGATGGTGTGTTTCTTGTCCAGGTAGGCACAGGAGCGAAATGTGATGAAGCTGGGGAAGAAGGCAGGAAGGTTAGGGAGAAGGCGGCAGCTTCTGCCACTGGTCTGCCTGGGAGCACACCAGGAGCTGCCAGCCCTCTACAGCCAGCTCTGGAAACCTGCAGCTTCCATGGACACATGTGTGCACAGGGCTCCCAACTATTCCCCACTGTTCCCCAGTGGGGCAGGTCATTAGCCCCCAAGGCTGCCTAGAGGACCCTGGACTTCAGCTGCCCCGCCTGCTGCCCATTGTTCATTGGGTAGTCCCTGTGCCCAGAGCGAGCCTGGCCATGCAGCTCTGTGGGAGGTAGCTTGAATGAGGGGACACCTGGAAAACCTGAGCCTGCCCCATGCCATCAGACACCTGTCGGACTGAGGACTCTGACCAGGAGAAAGGAGGCAATGAAGCCAGTTAAGAAAAGTGGGTAACATAAATAAACATGGACCAAGAAAGTGCTCAGGTCGGCCAGGCACAGTGGCTCACGCCTGTAATCCCAGCACTTTGGGAGGCCGAGGCAGGTGGATCACTTGAGGCCAGGAGTTTGAGTCCAGCCTGGCCAACATCGTGAAACCCTCTCTCTATTAAAAATACAAAAATTAGCTGGGTGTGATGGCCTGTGCCTGTAGTCCCAGCTACTTGGGAGGCTGAGATAGGAGAATTGCTTGAACCTGGGAGGCAGAGTTGCAGTGAGCTGGGATGGCGCCACTGCACTACAGCCTTGGCAACAGCAAGTCTGTCTCAAAAAAAAAAAAAAAAATGGGGTGGAATTAAAGCACCCAAAAGCACTGCCATGAGAACAGGACAGAGTTTCTGCCAGTCTGGTCTAGGAGGAATGCAGAGATTGTATCTCATAACTTTGGACTTTAAGTAGAAGTCCTTCTTTTTTTTTTTTTTTTTTTTTTTTGAGACGGAGTTTCGCTCTTGTTACCCAGGCTGGAGTGCAATGGCGCGATCTCGGCTCACCGCAATCTCAGCCTCCTGGGTTCAGGCAATTCTCCTGCCTCAACCTCCTGAGTAGCTGGGATTACAGGCACGCGCCACCATGCCCAGCTAGTGCTTTTTGTATTTTTTTTTAGTAGAGACGGGGTTTCACCATGTTGACCAGGATGGCCTCGATCTCTTGACCTCGTGATCCACCCGCCTCGGCCTCCCAAAGTGCTGGGATTACAGGCTTGAGCCACCGTGCCCGGCCAGAAGTCCTTCTTAACCTTAGACCAGAAGTAAAATATCTAACTTCCAAACCAGGAGAAAGAGAAGAAAAGCAAATGAAAAGAAATATTAAAAAGGTAACTAGAAAGCAACAAGATCATAGAACACGACAGACTACCTGAAGAATTCAGTCCACACTTAAGACTGTCAGGATCAATCCCAGCAGTTTGGGAGGCTGAGGCGGGCGGATCACCAGAGGCCAGGAGTTTGAAATCGACCCGGCCTACATGGTGA